TTTTCATATTCCCTGTTATAGTGAATGGGGAGAAAGATATTCATATTTAACAGATCTGATTTCGGTCCCAAGCACCAATTCAAACTGGAAAGATAACCAGCATCTCTGAAATGGATCAGGGTGCTTCCCAGAACTAAAGGTTGAATCTTGTGACTGGTGCTGGTGCACATGCCTAATATATATCATCTTCTTTTTTTACTTTCTGCCAGATTACATGAAATTTGCAGGCTGCCCCTTCCAAGGGGATGAAGCCTTTTGTGTAAAGAATGATTGGCAGTGGTGCTCTCCTCTAAAGGCAAACTTTACTGATTTGAGATAAGAAATAAAAACCACATAACCTTCCCTATTTTGTTTTGTTTTGTATTTTTAGCCATCTAAAAATGTCTGAAATGTGGTGACATGAGGGAGATGTGTAAGTGGGGGAAAGTTCCTACTTCCCCCTCTATACCTGGGGGTAAAGTTCCTCAGCTGGATGGAGGAAGGGGAATGAAGCCGTAACAAAAATATTTATCATGCTGATTTCAATGTTATGAAAGCAGAGGTACCCAAAAACTGAATAGAGGAGGGAACATTCAACAAGGGAAAAAAGAGGAAACAAAATTGGAAATGAATAAAAAGCAGCAAACACACAGCAGCAGCAGCAAGGGGTAGACTCTTAGAACTGTTTGCACAAACCTAAGGGAAGATTTTTTAAAAAAAAACAGTTGGAAGGAAAAACAAATGATTAAAGTAAATGCTGTTTGTTGGGAAACAAAAAGGGATTGGAATCATTTTAAAAAATGACCAAATAAATCACACAAAGGTCCTACAATGGAACCAACAGGAAATGGCCCTACGGAGCTCTCCTAAGAAACCTCTCTCTCCTGCATTGGAACAGACACCCACAAACCCCGTCTTTCGCTCTCCACAACCCACCCTCTGCCCACACAAAAACTCTCTCTCTCTCAAACTCCTCCCCCCAGCACCACCCTACCCTCTGCCCACATCCCATGATAATTCCCACTCTCACTTTCAGCTGTCCTCCTCATGGAACCACCCTCTGACCGTAAAAGACTCCCACTCAGGCTCTCGCTCTCCTCCTCCCACCAGACCCACTCTCTCTGCCTGCACAGTTTTGAGGATGAGCAGGAGCTGCTGCTGCTGCTGCTGCTGCTGCTGCTGCTGTTGTTGTACCCTGCCCATCTGACTGGGTTGCCCCAGCCACTGAAAGGCTTCTGTATACAGGACTACTTTCAGATGTGAAAAAAGGCATCCTGAAATCCAAACAGGACAATCCATTTTTTCTAGGGATGGGTGGCAACCCTACCTGTATCTGGGCTTCTTCACATAGACATCAGTATGCCAATGTGGGTATAGGATAGGGTTACCAGACATCCCCGGTTCCTGGGGACAGTCCCCAGATTTGCTAATCTGTCCCCAGGAATCGTGGCAGTGGCAGCCTCAGCAGCCTGGAGCCAGCCCGGTAGTGCAGTTGGCTCTGGCTGGCTTCAGGAGCTTCTTGCTGCCGCCGCCACTGCCAAAGGGGAACCGGGGACGTCCGGCAGTACAGATCTCCTGCCCCCCTTCCCCCTTTGTTGTGACAGATCAGGGGAGGCTTCAGAGTCGTGGATGGGTGGCCGTTGTACAGGAGGGGTGCAAGGCGCGTGGTTTCTCTGCCAGGCAAGGTGCGAAGGCCTTCTTTCGCACCCTGTGAAACATAAATGCACAGAGGTTTTTTTAAAAAAACTGGGCAATGGCCGTCCACCCATGACTCCCAAGCCTCCCCCGATCAGTCAAAACAAAGGGGGAAGGGGGCAGGAGATCGGGGAAGACTCAGGAGTCACGGGGGGGGTGCGCTGTTGCCCAGTTTTTAAGAAATTCTGCGCTTTTATGTTTCACAGGGTGCGAAAGAAGGGCTTTGCACCTTTATACAATATGCATGTGTGCTTGGGCCCAGGGTCTTTTGCCTTACCATCCCCACTACTGACTCCCTGTTGCTACTCAGCTTCAAAAAAAAAAAAAAAGGGTCCCCGGATTCATTGAAAAAAATCTGGTAACCATAGTATAGGTTGCTGGGACAGATGTTCTTTGCCAATAAAGGACAAGGATTGCCTGTGATGGATAAAAAGGAAGTTGGGGGTGGGGGGGGGTGAGCAACATTGATCAGACTTCCCATATTGAGTTAATGATAAGCTGGTTGTCTGCCAGGGGACAAGAATGCCCCTGGTTCAGTTCTGCTGAATTTGGTGTCTGATGTGACCATGGAGTGCCCAAGGGATGGTTGTGGAACTCAAAGGAAGAGATTGTGGGTCCCTTAGTTTGTAATCCCAGCCAGTCTTCCATCTCCTTCACTGATGTCTTGTTTTGTAGCACTTGAGGATAGCGGGTTGGGAGGGGGCTGTCTAATTATACTTAGGGTGCCTTTCAACATTTATTTTCAAAGTCTCACTTTGCATTTCTAATGCACTCCTTTCATCTGTTATGCCATTTTTGTGTAATCTGCCGAGTGCTCGATACTTAATTAGAAAAAGTTACTTTGGCATGGTTGAATGGCTGCTTTTTGAAACTTAATCAGATGATTTAAAAAAAGAAAGATTTTCTACATCTCTGAATGCTTAGTTACTAAGCAAAAAAAAAATGTGAAGAAGAGGAGGAGGAGGAGGAGGAGGAGGAGGAGGAAGAAGAAGAAGAAGAAGAAGAAGAAGAAGAAGAAGAAGAAGAAGAAGAAGAAGAAGAAGAAGGAGGAGAAGAGCTGCTACAGGTTAACTCCTAACAGAAAACTCGTAAGAAATATTTTTATGGGAAGAATTCCCACTGAGACACTCCTCTCAAGACTCCCCTTTTTGTACTTGCTTGCAGTTGGTTTAGGTTTCTGAGCAGAAGAGATTTTTGACATAAAAAGGGAGCAAAATGAAACTAAAACTTAGAAACTTCACTGGATGTCATAATGACCAAGATTTTTCCTTTCACTTATGGGCGTCCAAAGGAATTGGGGGAGGGGGGCAGGCTCGTTTCTCACACACAAAAATGAGGAAAAGTAGTGCCTATAAATTTTGTTTTGTATCTCAAATTTGTATCTCTCCCTACTTTTAGGGCTTTGCGCTTGACCTTGCTATGCTGTCGTGTGTCGTCTGTCGTTGGGACAGGGGCACGACAGGAATTTTCCCCACTTGGCTGGTGCTATTTGGGTTTCGCCTGCCACGCAGTAAATCGTCACAACTTGTAAGGTTGTGGATAGGCTCTGGTTGAGGTGATAGGGATGGGAGAACGCTCTCGCCATCCCTATGTGAAGGGTATTCCATTAAAGGAATCCAGGGACTCAATGGTTTGGTTAACCCCTGAGAGGGGGTTGTGCCAATGCCTGAGTCCAGGGGGACATTTGGGTTGCAGACATAGTCTGTTCCCAGCTTTCGGCTTATCCAGGTGTTCACCCTGGGCTGACCTATGCTGGAACCCTGGGTCAGCGCTACCTGCATGGCAGGGAGCTAGTCGAACCAGAGCTTATGCAACCAGTCACTTTCTGTACTCAATAAAGTTGTGGCCTAAATTCTGCCAAAAACCAAACCAAAATTTGAGTCTTGTCTGCATTTATTTAAGCAGGAGGTTTAAAGGTCTGAACACACAACTCAACTCATCTGTAAGCTCCTTATGCAGCCACACAGCTTTCTTCAGGTGTCTCTCCCACTGTCACTTTTTTTTTTTGTTGGAATCGTCTGCCTTTGTGCCTTCAGTATTTCACCTTTTAAAAAACTCCCATTCATCTTGAACTCCCTTCTCTTTGAGTATTTCTGAGCATGGGACTTAATCCAGTAGTTCCTTAAGCTTTTTTTAAAATCGGTCTTCTTCAAGTCCAGAGTGCATGTCCGAATACACTCAGCTTCCCCTTGCCTCTGTATCATGAAAGCCAGGGAGACATCATCACTTCCTTCCAAGGTTCCCTGTACTTCATCAATCAGTTCCTCCTTGTTGGTGAGGACCAGGTCCAAGAGAGATGACATGCCCCATGGTCCTCCAGGCTTTGTGGCCTACATATTGCAACCCAGAAGTGGAGGAAGGAAAGGGGTAAGTCTTCATTCTCTGCTTTTCTGCCATGCACTTGTTGCTCTCCCAACTGCTTCCAAGAGGGAATGGAAAGGAGACCGTATTTGGGTGAGATTGGAAGGAAGAACTTTGGAGACATCAAGCGACTGGCAGGGATAGTTGAAGGCCTTAATTTGAGCTCTCAGATTGGCTCAAGGGATTTACCCTTTTGCTTCCTGGGGAAATTTGGATCCTTTCTGAGTTAATCCAAGGAAAGCTTCTGAGAGCTCCGTCTCTGCAGGGGAAAATATCATCTGAAATGTCAGATGTACGTCAGGTTTCCTCACACGCTTATTTCCTTTCCAAGCTAAGCAATTGGAATTGATTGCCAATTACCTGTGTTTGCTCAATTGACTTCATTATGCATATTAAAATAAAGTGGAGTGCCAAATGATAAATACACTGTCCCCTGAGAGATATCCCCCTAATGTGCTTTTTAAGCTTGATATATCGATCGTTCCCCTTTTGACATCCGCCCTGTTCCCTTGAGCGAGTTACAGTGCTGAAGTCGGCAAAAAGGGGCTGCCGTGCCATTGATAAGTAGTATACATATTTATCTGTACAGGTATCTGATAGAAAATGTGCATCAGAACCATTTACGGCATGCGCCATAAGGACTAATTAAGTTTTACGATAAGTGCATGCACCGTTGGCTTGAGTACATCATGTGCGCCACGCTAATGTTGTAAATACTTGCACACATCCCTGGTTGTTCCCCTGGTGCCATTTTGTCTGGTTCCACTCTCTTAGCTTTTGCGGAACTAAGTGGATGGTACAGCTGACTTTCTTCAGGAGTGGCCGCGTGGGGGTATAGGTGGGTTTGCGTACATCCTTCTAAGAGCGACAGGCAGACATGCACTCCAAAGTGCAGTGGAAGTGGTTTCCAATGCACAGGCCACATTCACAGCATATATTTTAAGCATTGTGACGCCACTTTGTCAGCCTCAGTAGCTCAGTTGGTTAGAGCATAGTACTGATAATGCCAAGGTTGCAGGTTCAGGCCCCACGTGGGATAATAATAATAATAATAATAATAATAATAATAATAATAACAACAACAACAACAACAACAACAACAACACAGTGGTACTTCGGGTTACATACGCTTCAGGTTACATACGCTTCAGGTTACAGACTCCGATAACCCAGAAATAATACCTTGGGTTAAGAACTTTGCTTCAGGATGAGAACAGAAATCGCGCTGAGGTGGCACAGCAGCAGGAGGCCCCATTAGCTATAGTGGTGCTTCAGGTTAAGAACAGTTTCAAGTTAAGAATGGACCTCCGCAACAAATTAAGGACGTAACCAGAGATACCACTGTAATAATAATAATAATTTATTATCTATACCCCGCCCATCTGGCTGGGCTTCCCCAGCCACTCTGGGTGGCTTCCAACAAAATATTAAAATACAGCAATGCATCAAACATTAAAAGCTTCCCTGAAAAGGGCTGCCTTCAGATGTCTTCTAAAAGTCTGGTAGTTGTTGTTCTCTTTGACATCTGGGACAACTATGTATTGGACTAGGCGATCCTTAGGGTACCTTCCAACTCTATGATTTTATGATTATCTATTAGATTTATAGGTAAAAGGTAAAGGACCCCTGGACGGTTAAGTCCAGTCAAAGGCGACTATGGGGTTGTGGGCGCTCATCTCTCTTTCAGGCCGAGGGAACCAGCATTTGTCCACAGACAGCTTTCCGGGTCAGGTGGCCAGCATGACTAAACCACTTCTGGCGCAACGGAACACCATGATGGAAACCAGAGAAGCACACAGAAACACTGCTTACCTTCCAACCACAGCAGTACCTATTTATCTACTTGCACTGGCGTACTTTCAAACTGCTAGGTTGGCAAGAGCTGGGACAGAGCAACAGGAGCTCACTCTGTTGTGGGGATTCAAACTGCCGAACTTCTGATCAGCAAGCCCAAGAAGCTCAGTGGTTTAGACTACAGTGCCACCCGCTGTATTAGATTTCTATACCACCCATCATGAAAGACGGACTTCTCACTGGCCGGTCGCCATCTGTGGGCTGCCATCCTTCGTGAGGTGGGTCTGTCCCCCTCATTATTGACTTTCATGGAGAAATTTTAAAAACTTCCTTGTTTGTGAGGACATTTGATGGCTGAAAGCTACTGTTCATGGCAACCCAGAAACCATTGGCTTCAACTTCCGAGGGGCGGCGCGAACGGCAATGGCGGTCCTCTTCTGAACGGGAGAGGAGGCTCCGCAGACAACGGGTCGTCCGCTACGGCGAAGCGGAGACCCACTCCGGAAAACCCCAGGCAGCAAGAGCTTGGGGTCTTGAGGCTCGGTGGGCGCCTTAAGTGACCCTCCAAACGTGAAAGGAACCTCGTAAGGGGCTCCGGAGCGTGGAGGGGGGTTGCGGCGCTGAGAGCTGCTTCACAGTCTGCGGAGTGAAGCCGCGCTGCTGCTGCCGGTGAGCGCTGATCCTTTTTCCTGTTAAAATACGGATTCGGACGAAAAGCAACTTACTCGTGAGTAAAGACTGAATCACTTGAAATTAGAGACTTTAAATGAAAAACCTTAAATTGGCTTGAACTTGGCTGAAAGCGGAGAGACGTGGAAACAGGAAGTCCGTCTTCCGCAGCCATTGAACTTGAAAAAGCAACTAAGTTGGAGGAGTGGAGGCTGAAAGAAAGAGATTTTAAACTTTACAGATCTAAGCATCTATTGAACTTGCAATTTAAAGTAAAGACTTTAAGCTAAAGATTCGGAATTTTAACTTGCACTTGACTTTCCTCCTTTTATTGGATTACAAATTAGAAGGTGAAACCCAGAGTCAGGAGCTGCCTGAGCATTGAGAGATTGAGCTGTCAGTATTGCAGATTTGGATACTGTATATTGGAACTTGCAACAATCTGAGGGTATTGAGACTTTTTAAATTTGAAACATTCTTTTTGGAGATAAATAAGCACTGTCTGTAACAAAGTGACTACTTATAAACTCTGCTAAATATTTATATCTGAAGGTTCTTGGACATTAAATTAGACTCTGAAAGACATTTTAAGCTCCCTCTAGAGGATTGGATTAAAACAGTGACTTTACATCTACATTTACTTTCGATTCCCTTGTTGTTTGCTTGCTCTGGGCCTTTCTATTCCCATGGGAAAAACTCAGTGTGACCTTGACTGATAGACAACGTTGGAATGAGTGGCACAAGGAAAAGAGGGAGAGTTAGACAAACAACTTTAACAACTCTAACCTCAGCCTCGCAGACACGTAGATCATCTGTACCTACTTTGCCCTCAGAAGTAGAACTTGAAGAAGTTGCCTTGCCACAGGCAAAAGAGGGAGAGGGTGAAGCAGAGCAGTTACAATTGGAAGATATGGCCTCAGGAGCATCTGTTTCTGTTCTAGACAAAATCTTTGAAAAATTGGAAGCTTTGGACAAGAAAGTAGATGCGCAATCAGCAAAGATTGACAAAAATACAGAATGTCTAAATAAATTAACCATACAAGTGGTACAGAATACACAAGCAATTGGACAGTTAACGGAGGCCTCAGCAGAAAATCGGAAATTGGCTGAGGATACTAGACAAAAATTGGAAAATTTAGAGCAAGAGGTAAGACCACTCACTAAACAAGTTGGGGAACATCAGACTTATCTTTCCATGATAGAACTGCGAAATCGTGAGAATAATTTGAGGATTAGATCATTACAAGAGGCAGAAGAAGGAAATTTAACTGAGTTTTTGACTAAAGAATTTTCCAAGTTCTGGAATTTGGAAGAAAAGGATTTTAAAATTGTGTCGGCTTTCAGACTTGGAAGATTCACAAAGAAGGAGAGGCCCAGAGACTGTTTGATTACATTGAGATCAAAGGAGGAAAGGGATAAGATTTTGGGCCTACATTACGGAAAGTCACTGGAGGTTTTGGACAGAAGAATTGAAATTTATAAAGATATTCCAAGACAACTGCTGGATCTTAGAGCCGCCTATTCTGAACTTGCTAAACTACTAAGGAGCAACGCAATTCCATTCAGGTGGGAATTTCCCCAAGGAATATCTTTTACCTTTAAAGGGAGAAAGGTCAAAGTTAGAACATTGGAAGAGAGAGACAAATTTTTGGCTACATACGGAGAGGACCTTCAAAAAGGAATTGAATTACCTTCTGGGCCTGGGGCAAAGCCAGCATTAACACCAGCACCTGGGGAACCTGAAGATCCAGAGAAGATACCACCCCTGGAGAAATAACCAGATAGATCCAGGATGTCTCTGCAATTGCTGAGTTGGAACATTAATGGTTGTAACATTCCGGAAAAAAGGAAGAAAATATTTCATATATTAAAACAGCACAATTGGACATTATCTGTTTACAAGAAACACATGTGACGAGGCTCCACAGAAAAGTGTTAATAAATAAAAGATTGGGCCAGGAATTTGTTTCGTCGGACAAAGTTAAGAAGAGAGGCGTGGTGATATATGCAAAAGAGAGCCTGTCACCTAAATTCTTATTTAAAGATGAACATGGAAGAATTTTGGCCATTGAGATACAATATCAAGGAGAGAAACTGTTGATATTAGGAATCTATGCACCTAATGAAGGGAAATCGGAATTTTACAAGAAGCTGCAGGGGACAATGCTGGACTATCTGGATTACAACAACATCATAATGATGGGAGATATGAACGGGGTCGTGTCAACTAACATGGACAAGTCACAAAGTCAAAATGTTACAAAAGACGGCAGACTACCTAAAACCTTTTTGAAATGACTGACAATATGGATTTGATTGACATTTGGAGGACAAAGAACCCACTAGGTAGAGAAGGAACATTCTTTTCTGAAGCCCAACTGACCTGGACAAGAATCGACCAAATATGGATTTCTAGAGGCCTGGCACCTAAGGTCAGAAAAGTGGAAATCTGCCCAAAGACCTGCTCTGACCATAATGCAGTAAAGATGGATATGACACTACTACCAACTGGATCCTTTAGATGGAAGATGAATGACAATTTGTTTAGAGATCAGGAAATTACCAAGAAGGCCCAAAAAGTTTTGAAGGACTATTTTGAGATAAACATGAACAATTCGGTGGAAAAAAGAATCGTCTGGGACGCAAGCAAAGCTGTAATGAGGGGATTCTTGATACAACAGAATGTAGTAAAGAAAAGAACACAAAATGAGAAAAAAGATAAGATCTTGGACAAAATAAAAGAATTAGAGAAGAAATTAAGAGTGAATCCAAAGTCACAGCCAACTCTGAGAGAAATTAAGCTTTATCAAACACAATATTCTAAATTGATAAATCAGGAAATTGAATGGAAGGTTAAATTAATGAAACAAAAAACGTTTGAGTCGGCGAATAAATGTGGAAAACTGCTAGCTTGGCAGTTGAAGAGAAGACAAAGATTAAACACGGTTACAAACTTAGAGGTTGATGGAAAAAACATTCAGAATCCAGTGGATATTAGAAAGTGTTTCCAGAGATATTTCAAAAAATTATACACCCAAGGGCCGCAAGACGAAGTGGAGATTAAACAATTTTTGGCAAAAATGGACTATCTAAATTGTCACAAGAAAATAGGACAATTCTGAATTCTAAAATAACACGACAGGAGATTGAACAAGCCATTCAGAACATGCAACTTGGCAAATCTCCAGGGCCAGATGGGCTGACCTCCAAGTATTATAAGACATTAAAAGACTATTTGATACAACCTTTGATGGAGGTCAGCAATGAAATTATGGAGGGGAAGAGGGCACCGGATTCGTGGAAGGAAGCGTTTATCACATTAATACCAAAGTCGGAAGCTGAAAAGACACAACTTAAGAACTACCGCCCCATCTCCCTTTTAAATGTGGATTACAAAATATTTGCAGATATTTTGGCAAGTAGATTTAAAAAAGTCTTAAATGAAGTAATTCATAAGGACCAGGCCGGTTTTCTCCCAGGTAGACATCTGTTTGCCAATACAAGGAACATTATTGACATTTTGGAACTTCTGCAAACAGATATAAATACAAAAGCAGTTTTAATTTTCATAGATGCGGAGAAGGCCTTTGACAATATCTCCTGGAAATTTATGATGGGAAATTTAAAAGAGATGGGAGTGGGACGGGGTTTTGAGAATGGGATTGAGGCGATATATTCAGAACAGAAAGCTAAACTGATAGTTAATAATGTGGTCACAGAAGAGTTCAAAATTGAAAAAGGGACACGACAAGGTTGCCCTATCTCCCCTTTGTTATTCATTTCGGTTCTGGAAGTGCTATTGAACATGATTAGAGGGGATCGGTTGGTGGAAGGAATTCAGGTCGGTCAGAAACAATATAAACTAAAAGCTTTTGCAGATGACCTGGTTTTGACCCTGCAGAAGCCAGAGCCCAGTACGAAAAGAGTATTACAATTGATTAATGATTTTGGTCGGGTGGCTGGATTTAAATTAAATAAACAGAAAACTAAGGTTTTGGGGAAAAATTTGACTGATACAGAGTCAGAACGGTTTCAGAATGAGACGGAACTCAATGTGGTTAAAAAAGTAAAATACCTAGGGGTAAACATAACAGCAAAAAATCTAAGTCTATTTAAGGACAATTATGAAAAATGCTGGACAGAAATTAAAAGAGACTTAGATAGTTGGTCAAAATTGAAACTTTCTTTGTTAGGCCGAATTGCTGCTATTAAGATGAATGTATTGCCAAGGATGTTGTTTTTATTTCAGACACTTCAGGTTTTGGACAAAATGGAGTGCTTTCAGAAGTGGCAGAGAGACATTTCTAAGTTTGTCTGGCAGGGCAAAAGCCCAGAATTAAGTTTAAGATATTAACTGATGCAAAACAAAGAGGGGCTTTGCCCTGCCAGACTTAAAGTTGTATTATGAAGCCGCAGCGTTCTGCTGGCTAAAAGACTGGCTACTTCTTGAAGACACTGATGTGTTAGATCTGGAAGGGTTTAACAATGTTTTTGGATGGCATGCATATTTATGGTATGACAAAGTTAAAGCAAATAAGGCCTTCAAGAACCATATTGTCAGAAAATCACTGTTTAATGTCTGGACAAAATATAAAGACTTGCTGGAAAATAAAACACCAAGGTGGCTTTCACCTTTGGAAGCTAAGGCCGAAAAAGACCCAATATGGAGGCTAAATGGCCAAAATATTGGGAAATATTAGAAAAGGATGGAGACAATTGGAAATTGCAGAGTTTGGAGAAAATGAAAGACAAAGTGCGAGATTGGTTACATTACGCTCAGATTAAAGAAGTTTTTAAAAATGATAAGAAATTAGGGTTCCAGGTGGAGAAATCGAAACTAGAAACAGAATTGTTAGAACCAAAGATTAAGGTACTTTCAAGGATGTATAACTTGCTGTTGGAATGGAATACACAAGATGAAACGGTTAAATCGGCTATGATAAGGTGGGCACAGGATATTGGGTATAATATTATGTTTGAGGACTGGGAAAGGTTGTGGAGTAATGGATTGAAGTTTACTGCATGTAACGCTCTGAAAGAAAATGTAATGAAAATGATTTATAGATGGTATATGACCCCAGTCAAACTTGCAAAAATTTACCACCTGTCTGATAATAAGTGTTGGAAATGTAAAGAGTCTGAGGGAACGTTCTTCCACCTCTGGTGGACTTGCCCTAAAGTGAAGGCGTTCTGGGAGATGATTTATAACGAATTGAAAAAGGTATTTAAATATACCTTCACTAAGAAACCAGAGGCTTTCCTTTTGGGTATTGTCGGCCAAGGGGTGGCAAGGAAGGATCAGACATTTTTATGTATGCAACAACAGCAGCAAGGATACTTCTTGCAAAACATTGGAAAACTCAAGATCTACCCACACTGGAAGAATGGCAGATGCAACTGATAGACTACATGGAACTGGCTGAAATGACCGGCAGAATCCGTGACCTGGGAGAAGAAAGGATTGAGGAGGATTGGAAGAAATTCAAGAACTATTTACAAAAATATTGCAATTTGAGTGAATGCTAAATAAGATGCTAGACCAAAATAACTGAGCACCACTAAATTTAGAAGTTTTCTATGAAAATAAGTAAGACTGTGAAAATTTAATTCCCTTTGAAAATTATAAGATTATGAAATATAGAAGCGATATAAGAATTTAAATAAGATGATAAATTGCTGACAAAATGTTATAACGATGAAAGTGGGAGCGGGAGATGTGAGGAAGTCCAAAGAAAATGTGAAATTATGTCAAGACAAAGGTCATATTGTTTAATATGTTTATTTTTATTGTAAACCCA